CCGCCACTGCCTGCCCGCTCGCCTTCTCAGCCCCCCCTCCCCTGCTGCCGGCTCACCTGCCTCTCCGCCACTGCCCGCCTGCTCGCCTCCTCAGTCCCCGCCCCCTCGGCTTGCCTACTCACCCCCCGCCACTGCCCCCTCGCCTCCTTGGCTCCCCTCCCTCACCCGCCGCTTGCCTACTCACCCCCCGCGGGCCGCACAGTGAGCCGACCTACTCACCCTACGCAGGCCGCACAGTGAGCCCACACGGCCGCATGCGGCCCCAGGCCGCATGTTGTGCAGGCCTGATCTAGATGTTGCCCAGTCTAATAGGGTTGAGAGTTTAGACTACATGCTTATAATTTATTTTCTTTTGGTAACTATATGCAGGGTGGGCTTTAGACACTGCGGGGCCCAATTCGAAAGAGCTGCTGCCGAAGACAGTGGCGGGACTTCGGCGGCAACTCAATTGGCTGCCAGTGCCTTCGGCAGCACGTTGGTGGAGGGTCCTTAGGGACGTTGCAGGGCTCTCTTAGGGGCGTAGGGCCCTCTTAGGGGTGTGGGGCCCGATTCAGGGGAATTGGGTGAATCACCCTAAAGCCGGCCCTGCTATATGCCTTAGGCCCGGTAGGCAATAGGCAGACCACGGGCCAAATCTGGCCTGCCAGGCACTTTTGAACAGACCGCGAAATCTTTGACCTGGACAAAAATAATTGATTACTTCTGCCTTCACTGTTAGCCCAAACCTAAGCAATAAGACTCTTTTGAAGTGTTCATAGTTCCCAGTCTCAGTTCTGTTCAGTGGGCTATAGGTGTCAATGGCTCTGGGACCCAGTAAAGGAGTGAGGCAACACATCCCCACTACTGCCTCACAGGTCTCCCCTCCCACCCCACATCCCCACTACTGCCCCACATCCCCACTACTGCCCCACAGCCTCCCCTCCCGCTTCACATCCCCACTACTGCCCCACAGGTCTCCCCTCCCGCCCCACATCCCCACTACTGCCCCACATCCCCACTACTGCCTCACAGGTCCCCCTCCCACCTCACATCCCACTACTGCCCACAGGTCTCCATCCCCCATATCCCACTACTGCCCACAGCCTCCCTCCACCTCACATCCCACTAGTGCCCACAGGTCCCTCTCCGCCTCACATCCCACTACTGCCCACAAGTCTCCCTCACGCCCACATCCC